AGGAAAATTAAAAAAACTTAAATTTGGACATGTTTTGCAAAAAAGTGTTATGAAAAAGTAAAACAGCTATAACTTTTGCATACGATGTCAGAAAAAACGTATAATATATCAAAATGTTCAGCACAAAAATACGCATCCGATTTTGACTGCCATAGGCCGTTTTGCAAGTTTTTAGAATCCTCATATTCTAAAAGGAAAAAAGTTATGCTCAAATTTCAGTTTTTTGAATTTTGGTTAAATCTGGTCAAACTATGGTCAAACTACTTATTCAAGAAGTATTAGTGTTACTAAATAATTATTTCAGTTTTTTTAAATTTTGGTCAAATCTGGTCAAACTTTGGTCAAACTACTTATTCAAGAAATATTAGTGTTACTAAATAAAAATTGTTTTTAGAATAATAGTTTCAAACTCAAACAGTGAAACGTATGAGTTCATGCTCAAGCTAAACTCCTGAGGGTTAATAGGATTGGCATCTTAGTATTGTCAGGGAAACAACAAGTGCAGACTTGAAAACGAGGGGGAATAGAACCCGGAAGTTAAGCGTGCTCAGGCTGGAGTAGTGAGAGGATGGGTCACAGGCCGGGAAGGTAGATGATTTGGAATGATGAGGGGTGATTAGAGATTAGAGGTTAAATTGAGCAGTGATGAGGAGTGATTAGAGATTAAATTGTAAAATAATTCAGAAATTTGAAAAATAAAATAAAAAATTGTAAAATTTCTTTTAGTCCCGGTTGATGTTACCAACCAGGACTAAAGGTGGAGCTCTAGACAGCGGCCACGTGGAGGGCCTTTAGTCCTGGTTTCAGAACCAGGACAAATGGGTTTTTTTTCTACTAGTGTGACACTTGAGCTTCTCGCTCCCTTCCTCAAGGCGTTGATGTCGAAGAACCTCGTCGTTCATATGATGTCATGAGATGGTTGGTGCGAATATGGTCGGTGTTGTAGTTTGCTGATGGCGGATTTGATCACTTTGTTTTTTCCTCGCCTACGCATTCCTTTGGTCTTATATGACTTTGCTATTTATCAGTGTGTTTTGTATGTGTGCGTTAGTATTGGTTGTGTGCATCCTAACTATGTAGAGGTCGAATGTGTGATCATGGTGTTTGTATTCTCTTGATGCTTCATTTTGAACCAATAAAATCGGCCCTTCGTCAAACACACACACACACACACACACACACACACACTTTGACCAACTGCTCATATAATGCACGGTATTTTTACGTTTCGTAAATTTTGTCTTATTTCATACATAAAAAGAGAGCGTAAGAAAATATGTATTCACTATAAAAAATATATTATGTTACGTAAAATTACGAATGTAAAAATATAATGTAAAACATACTTAAAATGTGACTTTTTTTTGGTATTATAACCTATATCTTTATTTTTTTATACCAAATTTTACATATTGAATCAATATGCATGTAACTATTTATATTGTAAACGTAATTTATTTAGGAAGCGGTCGTAAGATTACCTCAGGTGAAGAATAACTTATTCTTCACCCGAGGTAATCTTACGATCATTTCATAATTAAATTACGTTTGAAATTCAAATAGTTACATTTCTATTGACTCACTACGTAAAATTTGGCATAAGAAAATAAAAATATAGATCATAAGACAATAAAATTTACAGGTTATGTGTATTTTACACTATGTTTTTATGTTTGTAATTTTATATAACATAATATTATATATATATATATAGTGTTACTATTCATCACCCAGGGTGCAGAATAAGTTATTCTTCACCCGAGGTAATCTTACGATCATTTCATAATTAAATTACGTTTGGAATTCAAATAGTTACATTCGTATTGATTCACTACGTAAAATTTAACATAAGAAAATAAAAATATAAGTCATAAGACAAAAAAATTTGCAGTTTATGTGTATTTTAGACTGTGTTTTTACGTTTATAATTTTACATAACATAAAATATTTTTTACGGCGATTATATATTTTCTTACGGTCTCTTTTTGCGTCGGAAATAAGACAAAATTTACGGAACGTAAAATTACGGTGCATTGATGGTAAAATAGAGGGGGATGAAGAATAATTATTCCTCACGCAGGATGACGAATAGCGCGACCATATATATAGGTCACAAACTAAATACTCTACTTTTTATGGTATTTTGTGTTTTGGAGGGAAAATATATGGAATCAACTTGCACTTTCTTAGAGCCATCGTAGGTGTCTTGATGCTGTTGGGATTAACCACGATTAGAAAGACCAGTCCAATATGGATTTTGTACACCGATTAGGAATCTGGTATAGCTAGGCTTGAATCCGAAATGCTTAATGGAGCTTTTCTTTCCCCTCTTGCAAGGTGACTAGGGAAAGCTTTTCTCCCCTCGATCTTCACCGTCGAGCCCATGGATTCGCCTCCCTTTCGCCCACCGCTCCAGCGGCCGGTGGCGGGGAGGGGATTTCTGGTGTCTCGGATCCGGCTAGTAGATAGGTAGGGTTTTAGTCTTCAAAAGGGCGGCGTTTAGATGGATGGCGGCGCTTCTTCTTCGAGTCAGTCTTCCGGATTCTGATCCTTCTTAAATTCGTTCTTTGGGACGGATTAGACCAATATCTGATAGCTCAGGCTAAAAAATACGTACGAGACATGCTGCATCACACACTAAAAGCTATGTCTCAGAATATACCACCCATGTGAAAAGAGGGGTAAGAAGGACCATGTTGAAATTGCTCCTCGGAATATGCTTGGAGGGTAAAACCAGTTGTCAACTACCATAACAAGGAACACCTAAAATAAAGTTTTAGAAAACTCGAGGGACAATTTGACATCAGATCTCCATCACAACGATCGAAGTGAATGTTTGGACGAGAAGACAAACATGAAACTTAACACGTGGGCGAAAATCTAAAATGTCGTTAAGATTTTGTTTCAGGAACAAAAATACAACCTAAGAAATGTGGAGGAATCAGTTTGCGGTTTGGCTCAATCCCTTCAGTTTTGTTGTAGCATGACTTAAAACTAGGAAATCCTCCGGGTACCTGTTGGTGACTTGACACGGCCGACAAACCAAACAACTGCATATATGGCTGGCACTAATAAGAACATGAAGCTCAGTCATTTGCAGTGCGTCGCTGCCACTAGGGGCCTACGTCACTCGAAGCGCATGGCTGCCTCTAAGAATCTAGATATTGCCACCCCCTAGTACAAATCTGAGTCCCGTCGCCTTCCAATCCCATGATATGTCAGGTTTTGGTCCATCTATAAGAATATATAAGTTACTATTCATGTGAACAATTAGCCGCCTTGTTCGGTTTGAGTATGTATGCATTCAATTCATGTCGCGAGCCAGATTAGGTCCTAGTCTGCTTTTATACATGCGCCCCCAGTATGTAAACGTAACCTGTAGTGAGGGCAATGGAAGCTTCATTGATACATGGGGCTCATCCATTAATTGCATTTGGTGATTCCTACCTGGCTTTAGGTGTATGTAGTTTGGGGTCTTCAATGTGGTTTTCTACACGTGATGTTTTAGTTTTCATTTTCTTCTTGTATCAAAAAGGAGAAATGTTGTTGAGTTTTACATACTATACGAACACCGTCGGGGAGAGGAGGGGGCTAGAGGGACTTACTCCATCTCCATATGGTGTCTTCACAACCTCGAACGCACGAACAAAGAACCGAGTTCCCCTCCGTTTCCCTGCACCTTGATGGCGACTTGAGACAGAGGGGAACGACGGCCACCGCCTTTGTGTGAGGAGCGTTGTGCAATATTTTGTGAGAGGGGAAAATAAATACTGCATTTGTTGCAGGAAATCATCATCACTCCTATCTCTCTAGTCAAGACTAGATTTTGAAAAAAATCCATTGGATGTCCGTGCTACATACAAGATGAACATGTCTTCATCCCTAGCATGAATTGAAATATCCACATACACAAACACCAATGCATAAAAACTCCATGATGCAAATTTAACAGAGGTAATCTACAAACAAGATCACTGAAGATGGTGCGCCTACAAAAAAGACTATTCTTGATCTAAACATTACGAATCTGAATAATCTGAATACAACAAACAGTGTGGCAATCCTTCATCATGGTTGCAAACACTTAACCAGCTCAAAAATGTCAAGCCCAACGACTCCAACAAGGCTGAATAACTTCTGTGGTAAAAACAGCAAAAATGTAGATGAAATGACCCACCGTAGAGGTGTAGACTCGATTGGTAGTGTTAGCAAGACTAGAACTGAACTTAGAGATGTGATCTGATAGTGATCCTACTACAGCAGCAGCTGGATAAGAAGAATACTCATCATTCCAGTTGGAGTTTACCAAGTGTAGCTAAAACTTGACCAGGTAAAAGTTGAAGTAGATTTAATTTGATAGAACTATTCACCGCCTCGTCATTCCAACTAAAAATGCTACAACTCAGACCAGTTAAAAACTGCATTATATTTTATTCAATAGGACTATTCACCCCCTCTAGTTCATGGAACTCCATCATCTTCTTAAGCCTTGTACAGTGCAAGGGGCTTAGGAGAGGTGCTTGAAGAAATAAATCAGACTTTCTTTAAGCACCGGTGCTTATTTGTTCAAGGCACACACTTAATTAGGCTCTCTCGTGTAGAAATAAGCACCGGTGCTTGAGAAAAACCCTGTTTATTTTTCTGAGCACCTCCCTAAGCACCTAGCATTGTACAAGGCCTGAGATTCTTAAGGTCAATGAGTCCTTTGTTTTCCTTTAAGAGAAAGAGAAAAGTTGAACCGCACATGCAATTTGTTCATTTGCTAGTACACAATTGCCTCATCTTCAGACCATACGTTGGTCAGTCAAGGCTTCATTCCAGAACAGATATACACCATTCCTCCCTCCTGCTGATTCTACATTTTCTTTTCTCTTAAAACTTTTTCTAACTTGTACCTTGTTCTATGATATGTACAGCCAGCCTCTCCCAAGAAGATGGCACAAGGTATACTACATACTTTACAATACAAGCTTACAACAGCGTGGCCTGTGTTAAGTCGGTCACGGAGCAGAGTCTGGTAAAAGAGGATCTACCAGTGTCCGTGGAATGACAAACTGGTCAACAACCCGAACTACGCTGGTCGGATCCGACCATCCCGACGCGGCTCGCCATTTGCTTGGGAACCTCCTGGTGTGGCTCATCTGCAATGGCTCCTTGGGCTCCATATCCCAGTCTGGATCCAGCATCCACTCTTTTGGCACCTGGTAATTGACAACACACGTGAGACACGCCACAGGAAAAAGCCAAGCTTGGAGAGCTAAACCCAAACCATATCATACATATTACTCGGTAGGAGTCGAGACGATTAAAGATAGTGAATGCAACCAGAATCATGCAAAATGATGGTGCTGGTAAGTCAAACTAGCAGAGACATTACCTTGTCCACAGCCAGGGTGAACACCTCAAGGTCTCCATTCTTTTTGATGTGGAACCGCGTGAACGCCTTGTAATTTGCTATGCGCAGGGAGGAGAAGGCCTCGTCAAAGTGAATATGGAACCAGTTTATACACACGTATAAGTAGCTCCCAAACACCATCGACACAACGGGCGTCGACAAGACCCAGAAGTAGAGAAAGACAGACACATAGTAGATGATGGCGCCTCCCCGAGGGAGAGACTCTATTCCTTTTCTGCAGATTGTGCTTCTAGTTACTGCCATAACCTGAAAGAGAAAATGACAGTCAATAATGGTACAGCCCATCAGAAGAAGTGGTGTTTGTATGGTTCAAAGGATAACCTCTGGGATGTCGAAGGCAGACATAAGGTACTTGATACACGCAGGATAAAGCCCGAAGGTCCACTGTTCCAGACGAGCACGAAGCCCCGTGGGATCAGGGAAATGTTCACTTTCTGCCTGACGGTACCATTCATAGAGGGTGTGGTAGCCTGTAAATGAGTAATCCAACAAAAGAAGTAAACAACTGTGTCAACAGACAATGCAGCTGTCACTAACTAGTACATTATTCTTGACACACATGAGAGGTGACGCAAAACAACAAGCAAGTACTATCCTGTCATTCTTCTCTAAATCGCTATAAAGGAATCTGACTGCTACGAAAAGAAGTAACTTGTAACCTTCTTAAACGAAAAGGGAATCTACAATTATAATTCATAACTTTTATAAGGATTCAATATGACAACATAACATGGTAATCAAGCAATGATGCACAGAGGGAAATACGAAACACAAACCTGATGTCGCTAGTAGATGGTTGCGGATGCATATCTCAATACCCAGTTCCATAAGCAGCATCAGTAGTACTGCCGAAGTTATATGAGCAGCAGCATGAAGAAAGCCAAGCAAAGCACGTCTTCTACGTGATAGTTTTGTGGGTACAAAGAAAAATGATACCGTCAACAGAGTAAGAACACCAGCTAGGGATACATAAGAATGCTCTAGAATCTCAAAAATAGCATTCCACGTTGCATTGAAGAAACTATTCACACGGCCATCCCAAGAGTCTTCATGCAAGATACGAAATGAGTCACACTGAAGAAAAAAACATCATACTTACATCAGGCCACAAAAGATAGAAATTAAGAAACATAAGAACTATTATAACAAGTAAACTAAATAATTGTGTCCCTCGCGTCTGTGGTTTTTTATGGGCCATGCATATTCATCATCTGGAGGAGCATAATTTTGATGGAGCATAATTTACTTGTACATAGAGCTACAGACAATTATCATAAAATGTACAAAACCCTACGGGACAATACAGTTTCATTAAGTCTGAGAACATGTTAAGGTACCCAAGGAGTTAGGGTTAAAAATTAGAATGATCTAATCATATCAGTAAAACCCTGATTTTATTAAATCTTACAAAATTAACACTGGAAATAGATAGCCGTACAATGCGTAACAGCATCGGCGTTGTTGGAAGTCCTAAAATATTTCAGGTCATGTTCAATGTCAATGCTAAGTAAGACAGCATAATCGTTGATGAACTCGTATACCAACAAGGAAGCTTGCAATGTTATGCCAGTTATTACATCGATGGACAATCATTTTGATGCAGTTCCTAATTTAACATTTGTGGACAAGAAAACCAGTAATCGCTTTTGAAGCTTTAAGGCCTCATCTCGACCAAATAATGGAACGATAATTTCCAACTATACAGTTAAGAACTACAGTATAATCTAGTTTCTCACCTGTGGAAACATTGAGAAGACCAACACGAAATACACAAAACCACCAATGACATCAAATTGCCAATTTTTCCTTCGGAATTTTAAAATATTACCAAGTGCAATCTAGATGGACAAACAAAAGAAGCAGTCAGTTGGCAACAAGGCTGGTTATTCCAAGAACAACCCTGTTACATAATGAATCAAAGAAAGATAAACAAATGTAAGAGTCAACCTTACCTTGCTAGAATCTTCATAAGAAGGATATACAGCCTTCGTTTCATACTTGTTCCCATAGCATTCCTTGAAGTTCTCGAAGACATGTGTTGGATGCAAAAAGGCTCCACCACAACCATTTACAAGCAAGTGTTGCACATGTACTGGTTCTTTGGACTCAGTGCAAGAATGACGCATATAATGGTGCAGGTCGCCAGCCATCCGCAATTTACACCTTCCCTTGAGGTACTCACGTATTAAATATGTTACGTTTTTTCCAGTTTTATCACCCCAGTACCAGTCGAGAAGCCAATTTGGCTCATGAGTTATAAGAATTACAGAATCATGTTCTCCAACCTGCATAAATTCGACTAATACTAGTCACCACGAAAATGAACATGCGGCAATCTTAGTGCACAATAACAAATATCTGCATTGCTTTCTGCTTAAGATAACAAGATCTACTAGCAGTGATCCCAATTTTCATCTACTGGTTTATTACTACTGAATCATCAAATTAACAAAAGATAACCATATCACCAACAGAAAAAAAACAATGTCCTGATAGAGTGCAGATGAAAGGATGTATTACCTTCTGTTGACATAATTCTGCAAAAAACTTGAACTGGTACACATCAATGTCGCCATGTAGAGCTTGGTCAAGACCAAAAACCCACCACCCATTGGGAAGCTTTAATGCAAAATAACTCCTCTTCTGGGGTAAAAACCACCCACCAAGCCAGCTCTTATGACAGACATACCTCATGAATGTGTTCAGTCCATCAAACCAATCTGCTCGAAAACAATGCAGCTTTTGTCACTCTTATTGGCATTCGTCCATTCACAATGATGTATCAGAAATATGCAGTGTAACTTCTCCCATGCCAAGACATCATTATTAGCAAATAAAAAATGTAACACTGATGGGAAGGAAGAAGACAGGTACATGAATGTCATAAAACATGAAGTACAGTGCAGTTCACAGGTAGGTAATATTTACCATGGTTTCCAGGAATCATAAAACATTGTGGTCCCTTATACTGCCTGAGCTCAGAAACTCCAAGAGGAAGTTCAGGTTTTTCCAATGCTATATGATCAGGCGTGTACCAAGCAGGAGGCTGGAGAGCATACTCAAAAGGGCAGAAAAAACGCCGCTCATATGTAAATGAGCATGGATTCGGATATCTGCAGAAGAAAGGAACAAATCAGCATTTTTTTAAGAGCTTATTCCAAGATCAACATGGAAAAATGAAAATCCAATATAACAGGCTGGCAAAAATAATTAATAGATGGCATCATCCATGTATGGAATGCAACTTGTGATAAATATGACAAGCAAAACATTTATACTAGTCATAAATCAGCAAACATGAACTGAAAACTTCTAATAATGTAAAAGATCAAAGTATGCAGCATACGCGAGGTCTCCACCAATAAGTAGTAGTTCTCCACGGGGAAATATAAGCCTGGAATCATCAGACTTTACGACTAAAGAAGGTTGAGCAAGTAAGCGTGCTATAGCATATGTAGAGTTGCCACCATCGCCGGTATCTGCAATGAAGTCAAACCAAAGTTCGTCTTTCCCATCAAGATGATCGTATAAAAGGTCGCTGCTCTTAGATTCATCTGGAGTTTTGTTCATAGCAGCCTGGTTGGGTTAGAAAAAAATTGTCAATTGTTTTAACAGAACAATAGGATCAACTAGGAACTGTAATAATAACTATGTGAATTTAGTGAAGAAGAACAAAATTCTAGGAAGGAGGATATTCTTTTTTTTAGCTTATTAGGAAGGAGGGTATGACAAGATAAAACTGGATGAAACAAAAAAGCTAAACCAAAATGAGGACTGAAGCTAGAAATCACAGGTCATGTACCTGCATCATACGCATGTCAAATCTACCAACAAAAAGTGTCACAGATATCATGAGGTCGAAAACGGTTTTGAATAAATCTGTTGAGGTCCTGCAGAACATACCAAAAAATAGTCAGCCGTTTTTACAACATAAGTGGATAATAAGAGCTTATGGATAGACCACCAACATACCCAGAGTACCAAGGAACCATGTCCTCAAAATCCGGTTTCAACAGTTTCTTCAGATTCTCATACTCCGAAATTGTTAAAGGATGAGTTAGAGCCCATCTATACAACAAGTCAAGGAAACAAGGTGAATAAATTAGTCCAACACTGAACGAACAAACTAGTAATGTGATGTTTATTCAGCAATTATATTGAGCACCTTTTTATGGCCTATTTTCATATCTGCTAGATAATATCAGCATGCAAACACGTGAAAAAAGACAAATAAAGTGGTCATCATCATGTGCAACTCCTAAGTACCCAGTAAGTAATGACCTGAGGATATTTTATCCCCTCACATCATGTTATCTTCACTAAAGTATATTCATATAGGTAATAAGCTGAATGCAACCCCTTCAGATTTTTCCACGATAACCATGGCATTTTGTTGAGAGGGTGTGAAGGTTGAAATTCATATATGTATAGTTCTGCTTAGATGAAACCATGACAAATACATTGCATTTTCCTTGTCATCATCATAAGTAACTCTGATAAGATGACAGAATACAAACTTATCTGTTGAGTTGTTTATAATACAGTACATGATTAAAAATCTAACTACCAGATGGATGTGCTCAGACATTCGACATACCCAGTTGACCGCTCCACGACATAATTGGCCATGTAAAGACCAATGAATGTGGCCCACAAAGAGTAGACAGGTGAAATGATGTTGGAGTGTTCGGATCCATTGGAAGCTAACTGGAGCAAACATATACAAGTTAAAAACAAAACAGTAAATAAATAGAAGAGATATCCCAGCATAAACAGAAGGTGAAGTATACTGACTTCTCCATAAATGGCCCATTTCGAGAGAAGTGGGTAATCACTGGCAGAGCCAACCGGGGCAAACCAGGATGAGCAAATCTGGTCTTTAAACTTATGCATACGCAATAGCTTTGAAATCAGTGTGTTGTCCTCATTTTGCTTTCTCCAGAGTGAAAATGCAACCCAGCTAGCAGTTCTACGATCAATAGATTTATCCCTTGAAAGAGTCCTGTTACCACAGTGGCTGTAGAACACGCAGCAAGCTATACTTATCACCTGTGATGTGACACGAAGTGCGAATCTTAGATAAATCAAAACTATCTAAAGAAGAAAATGAAAACACGATACACTTGAATCATTGTATGCCAAGAAACTTACTGCGCAATTTTGGATTATAGTAAGCATCTCTGGCTTTTTCTCTGCCATGCGAGAAACAAGACCCAAATACCAGAGTCCAAGAAATATGACGTGGAAGACGATCAAGAAAACTAGAGAGGAAATATAAATAGTGAGGAAGAGGGAAAGATTCATCCTCAAATCCAACCCCATTGACTGAAAACTAGGGAGATGGTATAATGCTGCCAAGAATATCCAAGCAACGTACCTGCATTCAGAAACAGCCTCAGGGAACTAATACATCTTGTTTTACTTAAATGATCTTTTCACAGACTCCAGAGATTGCTTACCAACGACTAAAGTTTGAATAGTTTGGCTTGATAGTCTTCCTAATAAATGGTGATGAGAAGAAATAGAAGAAACCAATCAAACAGGCATACATCGACCACCATTTAAAATTCTTGTCCAATTTCATTATAAGGGTTTGTAAGTTATCTGATGAAAGGAGGAAAAGCCAGCCAACAATCACAGCAATCATGAAATGTCTTGAATGCTCATGTGGGTATGGGTATCTATGAGTCAGAATAGTCCTGACCCTCTCCATTTTAAGGGATTCAATCAGACGACCAGATGGCTGCTTATGGAGCTTTTCTCTTCCCATAAAAACACTGCTCCCAAGTCAATGATAGTTCATACTCCTACTCAAAGCAACCAGAGGGACCTTTGTCACCGGTGAAAATTCCAGAACTGTGCCACCAGATCTGCATAAAGAAATATTTGTGAAAATCTGACAAAATAGCGATATGCGTGCAGAACAGCAATATTAAAACTAACTTCTGAAAGAAGTCACAAACTACAAAGTAGACATAGGGTGGGAAACAACTGGTAAGATTAAATGTGCCTCTTTTGCTCTATACCGAAAAGATCAAGCTAATTTATTGTACTTTGGTGCTTGAGTGAATCCCAGAAGTTATGCAGAGTATTCTCTGTATTCTGCAACAACCACAAAATATCACATAGTACCCTCACCAGATTGGCATGCTATCCTAGAAATCATCGCACGCTAAATCATGTAAATACTTAGTCACTTTACAGAACCAACCAAGACTTTCAAGGATTGCTCACTTAGTCAATTCTGTTCCGAAATAAAGTGGACCTAAAGTAAATAAATACGACTGTCTTTCTGCATAGGATGCTTTCTAAGAATGCATTGCACTTTTCCAAATGCTGACATCCTCAAAGGTGAATCTTTATATCATTTCACAAAATATGGCAATGGTATTAATCTAATAGTCATCCTCCCATGCTATATAAATGAATCCCAAGAGGGAAAATGTGGATGCAGAGACAAATGGAGACAGAAAATGTACAGGTAGACAAAGTGAAGGAGCACATTAAGCACATGGCATCAACAGATTCCACAGGAAAGGGACGGAGAGGAAATCATTACCAGAGACAAACACTACTCTTAGTGAAGACATTATTATCAAGCAAAGATGGCTCTAAAAGAACAATACTATCCCTAAATTTTCCGCTAAAATCTTCATAAGACCACAAGTTCAGGTCTACACATAGAACAAATAACTGAAACCATCTAGTAATGTACAATGGCAAAATAAAGCTAGGAAATTACAGAGAATAAAAGACAAATCTGACTAACCCAAACAGAAAAATAAAGTAAGTGTCTAGGCGGATTTTGACAGAACAAATATAGCAAAATCAGAGTGATTTGCCGACGAAGGCCACTTGGATGTACCTATCCTACTTCTTATCCTTCCTAGCCGTGGACTCCTATTCCCGATGCATCTTATTCATACATAGGCTTCCAACAATAAATCTTACAACGAACCCCTGATATGTTACCTAGCTGGATAACCTCAATCATGCATCCAACTCAGCCATTGGTTACTAAAGATGCTAATCTGCCATGGAGCACAAGAAGGTCGAAAGCAAAACTGCCAAACTAGTGACGGACATTGTGAAGCAGCAGCAGTGCAAGCATATATAAATAGGTCGACTATGCTGCTGTAAAGAAAAGAAATAGATTGCGATGCAAGGAGGGACTCAGACCAGACTAGTTGTCAACCACCTACCGCCATGATGTTTATCATGTGGATGAGCTAGTGAAGAGAGATGATCTACAATGAATGTAAAGGAACTTATTTTCTGCCTTCAAAATTAACAATAGAACATTCAACGGAAGGAAAGAAGAATCCTAGAAGTTATGCAGAGTATCCTCTGTATACTGCCACAGCCACACAGGTAAACAGGTAGTACCCTGACCCTGTTGGCATGATATCCTACAAGTTACCTCAGCAGCTCCACACTCAAGGATGTAGGAAATACTTAAGTCACTTTTACAGCACCTACCAAGTACTGATACCCCTAATGGTTGCTCAGTAAATCAATTCTGTTTCAAAATGAAGCACACAACATAATCAATGCATAGGATTGATTGTCTTTTTGCATAGGATGCTTTCGACACATGCAGCAGGAAGCATGCATTGTAGATTTGCAAATGACGACAACTAAAATGAAGTATGGCAATTGTATTAGACTAACAGCCATCCATCCCATGCTATATAAACAAATCCCAGGAGGGAAATTGGATATATAGACAAGAGAGCCGTAAAAAATAAATTGTAAGTGGACAAACTGCAGGAACACATTAAGCACATGGATTCCATGGGGAAGGGACAGGAGGCAATCATTGGCAGAGACAGAAACCTAGTCTTAATCAAGACATTAGAGAGTGACATGAGGTCTGTTCTCTAGTAAAAGAGATTACAGAAAACAAAGGTGCAAATCTGGTTGGCCCAAAGAGACAGACAACAAATCTGGGAGAGGAACAAAGATCATGCCTGCTTTTGTTTTCCCCTCGATATGCCGGCAAGGAACACGAGAAACCAGTGCGACTAAGAAACACAGGTATCAAGGAGGAGAAACTGGCAGTATAACTAACTGGTGGGGTGTAGAAAGCAGAGGAACCAGAGCAGAATTGCGCGCACACACACACAAGCTCCGTAGCCAGTATAACTAACAGCCACAAAATATCACATAGTAGCCAGTACACACAGCTACAAATCATCACACAGCTTTACACTAAATCATGTAAATACTTTTGTCACTTTACAGAACCTACCGAGACCTTCAAGGATTGCTCACTTGGTCAATTCCGTTCCGAAATAAAGTGGCCCTATAGTAAACACATACGACTGTCTTTTTGCATAGGATGCTTTCTAAGAATGCATTGTACTTTTGCAAATACTGACATCCTCAAAGCTGAATCCTTATATCATTTCATAAATATGGCGATGGTATGAATCTAATAGCCATCCTCCCATGGTATATAAATGAATCCCAAGACAGAAAATGTGGATATAGAGATAAATCAACACAAAAAATGTTCAAGTAGACAAACTGAAGGAGCACATGGCATTAACAGATTCCATGGGAAAGGGACAGGGAGGTCTTCATCGCCAGAGACAAAAACCACTCTTAATCAAGACATTGTCAAGGAAAGATGGCTCTGACAGGACGAAACTTTCCCAACAATTTCCCCCTAAAATCTTCATAGAAACACAGATCCATGTCTACTAGGCGGATTTCGTCAGAACAAAGACCTAAGAATCGGAGTGGTCTGTCGTCTTAGGCCCCTTGGATGTACCTATCCTACTTTGTGTCGTTCTAGCAGCATCACTTTGTTCTGGACATGGACTCCTATTCCCGACGCATCTCATTCATAGATAGGCTTCTAATAATGAATCATACAATGAACCCTTGATATGTTATCCAGCTGGATAACCTCAATTGTGCATCCAACTTGGCCATCGCAACTAGAGATGTTAATATATCATAGAGCACACGAAGCTCAAAGGCCAAACTACCAAAGTAGTGAAGGACGATTGTGAAGCAGCAGCAGTGCAAGCACATATATATATCACTACGCTGCTGTAAAGAGAAGAAATCGATTGTGGCGCAAGGAGGGATTCAGACAATAGTGGTTCTCAACCACCTAATTGCTGTGATGCTTATCATGCGGATGTGCTAGTGCAGAGAGATGATCTACAGTGAATGTAAAGGTACTTCCTTTCTGCGTTCAAAGCTAACAGTAGAGCACTTGGCGAAAAGGAAGAATTGAATCCTAGAAGTTATGCAGAGTACCCTCTGTATACTGCCACAGCCACTGAGTAAAGCCGTAGTACCCTGACCAAGTGACCATGTTGGCATGATATCCTACAAATTATCTCAGTAAGCCCTGCATAGGATGGTTTTGACAAAAGGAGCAGGAATTTGCAAATGCAGGCATCTACAAGGGTGGGTGAATCATCAATATCATGTGGCAAATTGGGCAATGGCATTAATCTAACAAGCGTCCATCCATCCCATACGCAATATATAAACGAATCCCAAGAGGGGAAATTGGATAGAGAGACAAAAGAGCAAAAAAGAAAGTACAAGTAGACAAACTGCAGGAGCAAATTAAGCACATCGATTCCATGGGAAAGGGACAGAGGCAATCATTACTGGAGACTTAAAAACAGCTCGTAATCAGACATTATTATGAAGCAAATCTAGCTCTAACAGGAGGAAACTACTTTCCCTCTGCTAGTAGTACAATTCTCCCATGAAACCTTGACAGGACCACAGCTACATAGAACACAGAGAACTGAAAGCCTGAAACCACCCACTGTCCAGTAATCCAATAAATAAAATGTAGTACATGGGCAGGCCAATAAATCTGGGAAATTACAGAGAACGAAGGACAAATCTGGTTGGCCCAGAAAGACAGATAAATGAAGTAGTAGCAAGTTTCTTTATAGCATATAATACACAGAGCATTAGGCGCAGAGGAACAAAACATGGTAGTACCCACTCTGTTTTCCCCTCCTCAATATTCCGGCGACGAACACGAGAAAGCAGTGCGACTATAAACAACACGGGTATCTAGGAGTAGAAACAGGCATTAAAACTAAACTGGTGGGTGGTAGAGAGCAGAGGAAGCAACTGAACTGAATTGCGCGTGCGCGCAAGCTCCTACACCATAGACAAAAAGTACTCTTAATCAAGAATTATCAAGCAAAGGTGGCTCTAACAGGACGAAACATTCCCAACAATTTTCCCCTAAGATCTTCATACAACCACATGTTCACGTCTACAAATAGAACAAATAACTGAAACCATCCAGTAATGTACATGAGCAATAATTCAAGAAATTTACAGAGAAGGAAAAACAAATCTGGCCGACTCAAACAAAACAACTAAGGAGGTGTGTAGGCAGATTTTGACAGAACAAAGATCGCACAATCAGAGTGATCTGACGCCTCAGGCCACTTGGATGTAACTATCCTGCTTCCTACCCTTCTACCAGCATCACTTTGCTCTGCCGGGCGTGGACTCCTATTCCTGATGCATCTCATTCATACATAGACTTCCAATATTGAATCTTACAACAAACCCTTGATATGCCACCTAGCTGTATAACCTCAATCATGCATCCAACTCGACCATGGCAACTATATAAAGATGCTAATCCGCCATGGAGCACACTAAGGTCGAAAGCAAAACTGCCAAGCTAGTGATGGACACTGTGAAGCAGCAGCAGTGCAAGCATATATAAATAGGTCGACTATGCTGCTGTAAAGAAAAGAAATAGATTGT